AAACAAAAAAAAAAAAATAAAAAAAAAAAAAAAAAAAAAAAAAAAAAAATAAAACCGTACGGAATCGCCGATTCACTGTTCGGACTCGCCGATTCCGTACAGTGAATCGGCGATTCACTGTACAGAATCGTCCGGTTCTCTCTAGAACCGGACGATTTCCGATTTTTGGGCGATCCGGTTCCATTTTCACTATTTCCGAGTCGAACCGGGCGAGTCCGGTTCGACTCGGCGTTTTTTAAAACGCTGGGTCACCCAATTTCACATCCAATGTTCAAAATTAATTGTGACCGTTTTGTACCAAAGGTAAATGATCTCATTATACACTTTCTCATTCTCTAATGCAATAAAAATGACATAAAATTTTCACGTATACTTGCAAACCATTTTTTTGAAGAGATAAAAAGCAGCATACTGTCTATTTACTCCGTAAACCCAATCTATGATTAATTGTAGGTCAAGATTGAACTCAAATCATCCAATTTTTTGAGGCTAAGATCTAGGTGTTAGAAAACTCCAAATTCAAAATTTCTCTTTTGAAAAATCTTAATCCCAAATTTTAAGAATTGAGAAAGTCCTTCAAAATAGGTCGTCTAGCTAATGGTGTAAATCTATACTATGCTCCCATGGAGCACAATATACACGCTCCACTTAAGGGCACAAAATTTCATGCTCCCATGGGAGCATATTTTCCATTTACTTACTCGAGTAAAACCCATTTTAGGAATAAACGGAGGACCCCAAATTTTGGAGACGTAAACTTTTTGACTCGTAAGACAAACCTCAATCAAAAACAAAATTTCCATAAACTACTACATATTATCTTGAAAAAATAATATCTTATGAGTGAAAAAAGATCAACGGATTTTTAGACATAAACATCCACGTCTTAAAAACCTCAAATTTTAAAATTTCACTTTTGAAAATGATCATCGGGTGATTTTTTGATAGATCCCAAATGTTCATATTGACAAAGTACTTCCAAGTAGGTCATCTAGCCAAAGGAGCAAATGTATAATATGCTCCTATGGAAGCATAGTAGACATGCTCCTATCTAATTAGTTACCATGTTTGGTTGTAGTAACAATGTATTAAGAGAAAAATATGGTAATAGAAAGTGGAAAGGATGGCAAAGGGTAGGGCCCAAAAAATTACATTGGAAGAGTTCTCACTTTTGCCTTGTAGAATCCTTAAAGCACACTACACTAGTGTAGACTTGCCTTATACATCACTCTCAAACTATAGGAGGCAAGAGCGTTTTATTTAAAGAGTAGAGGGGAGAAAGAAGAAAAGCAGGCGACAAACTATGTTACTTTGGCTCCTTTGCATAGTTTCCATGACCCACACCTCAACCAACAAAAGATAAAAAAAATAAAAAATAAAAAGTAAGAAAATTTAAGCTCTTGGAGTTTACATTACAAGACCATTCACTTATAATGGAAGGAGGGCAGAATTATTTTTTGTTGTGAGATGTAAAATTAGTTTTACAAAGTTAATTTATTTTTTTTTAAAAAACTTTGAGCCCAATCGATGAAATACTTTGCTCAATTTAATTTCACATCTAATGGCCAATAATGAGTGTGATATTACAAATAGTCATATATTATAATTCTTCTTCATATTTAATCTTATGAGTTATGCGTTGACTTTTTGTCGAATTCCATTCCAAGACAAATATTAGGTGTTCCATCGTAAATAAACTACTGCTTAGGGTGACTTTAATGGGGTTTGTTTAGCCCGAAAACTTTGAACATCACCCTCATTCATCCTGAAGATCAATTTAACCAAAAATAATAATAATTGGGAGCTAAAAATTTTGTGCATTCAATTCACACTCCCAAATGGACTATGATCCATCCGTTTAAAGTTCGTGTTTCGAAAGATTGATTGTTTTTCTTTTGTCTTTATTCAATGAATAAGAGAGGATTCCCCTAATCAGGAGTTTTGCTCATGGGAGCAAGTGAGCCACATCTGAAATTTGGTCCCATGGGACCACAATGTACACCTGGCTTGACATCTAAATTACCAGGAATTGCCGCCACTAGGCACCCCTTCAGAAACGTTGCCATTATCATACCCCATATCTGGACCCACTTCGAGTCAGCATGACGGTTTGACCCGACATTTTTCCTTCTTTTTTTTCTCACTCCTTAAGGGCCACTTAGACTAGTTATCCGCAAGAGCAACGTGTACATCTACTCTCTCGGCGAGAAGAACTATTTGAAAGGACATTTTAAATGGAAACCCCTCTTATTATCACCAGACTATTATTCTCAAAAGGAAAAAGATTGAATTTTGAGTTTTCCAACGCCTACATCTCGCTTTCTTAAGATTGGGAAGATTCAATTCAATCTTCACACTCGGTTTTTTCTTCGAAGTGCATGCAAGGTGCATTTAGAAAAAAAAAAAATTTCTTGAGGCTAATCTAGGATTTGAAGAGGTTACATCCCCAAAATTTTGGGGTCCTAAAATTTTAACCTAGATGGGCTTTTATCCTAGGGAGTAAATGAATAATATAATCCTGTAGGAGTATAATACCGTTTGGGATTTCTAGAAGGATGGCAAGAGATTTAAATATTTGTCTGATAGGAACTTATGTAACACCCACATCGCCGGGCTTCTCGTGATATTCATAATTATACTCTATCCTCCAATTAATTCCATTATTAAATGAATATTAAATGTTATGAAAATGCATAGTCATATTTCAATATTCCCAACTACTTCATGCAATTTGTCATGGATCTTTCTTCTTTCTAGAACTTCAAAAGTAATGTGTTTTTCTACTCTTGTTTTGAACATCTCCATATTTCTTCCGCACAAAAATATCGTAAATCCGTACGTATTTGGACTGTACGCTTGCTGTATATGGGGAAAATAATACAGGCCATTTATTATTGGGTGTGGTTTCTATAAGGTTGCACCTTTAAACAATCCAATTAAGGCGCACCTCCAAAATTTATCATACCATATAATTTTGGTATAAAACATTCCTAAGATTATCTCAAAATCGATTTTTGTATCTAATTATAAAATTTTAAACTCTAAAAATAGTTAAAATCAGGTAGATCCATAAACATATGAAAATCTTTAAAATGGATGGTCTAGATAATGTGTTGCAAGATGAACTATTTCTAGGATTCAAAATCTTTTTCTTTTCATATTCATTCATCTCGTTGTCAAGATGATCAATTAGAGGGGTTTGCAACATTAAAACAACCTTTTCTGATTGATATTTTAGGTGCATATGCAGTTCTACATTTTAAGGTTGCAACCTTATATAAACTTTTTCCTTTATCATTTATTGTTGGGAATATTTTTAGACTTTAGACTACCATCATAGTTCAACTTTTTTTTTCTGATTAACTAGGGTTTGCTACACGAATTTTAGTCCTATATTTAGCTCTATTAAGGGATTGTACTTTCAGTGAGAGGATAAGTCTTATATCATTTCTTACTACTTTCAACTATGTCCTTTATAATGTATGTCAATATTTCAAAAATTACTTACCTAACTTGGAATCGGCCAAATCGAATAGGTATAAGGATTTGATAATTGTTGGTTTAAAGACCAAGAACTGCTCAAGTCTCACAATGTTCTAGTTTTTCTTTTAGGTAGGCCGATTCAGTTTAGGAATCTTTCGAGTTGAACCTTTGCCATTTGAACAGTACTTAAAATGTTGAAATCCAAAATTATTTGTTTCTTCCAAATCCTAGCCTCATGCGATTTAAAAATTAGGTGCAATTTTTAAGGCAATTTAAAAATACGATTTAAGGCAATTTAAATTAGGTGCAATTTAAAAATTTGATTCAAAGGAGGTGAAATTTAAAAAAGGCAATTTAAAGGCAATTTAAATTAGGTGCAATTTAAAAATGCAATTTAAGGCAATTTAAAAATGTTAAAATTAGGTGCAATTTAAGGCAACTTGCCTCATGCGAGTTGGGCTTCAGTTCACTTCCAAATACAACCAAAAAAATAATATCTTGGCACCAAAAATCTTTATGGTGGCTTGAAAATTTATTTGCATCTCCAAATATGAAAAATTTAAGCTCCAAATTGATACATATCTTATTATCATCATCATTATAGCCTTTCTCAATTAATTGGGATGATGGCTTCACAAATCCTGATCTGCCACTCTGTTCTATTAATAAGTCCTCATATCTTTCTACTACTTCCAATCATATCATTTTGAACCGACCATTGTCCTTTTCTCCTTCAATTATATTTTGTAGTTATATGGATAATTAAAATGAGAGACCAGATTAAATATGTTTCAAGGTCTACTGTTTTAAAGAACTGATATTTTTTTCTCATACTTATAATTGTCAATCAATTTGATGATATTTGACGCTCGAACTATCTTATAGAGGTTTTTTTTTGGGGGGTGAGTCAGTGAGGAGAGAGCTTCTACCCTTGATAGAAATTCGACGATGTAGCGTTGCAAATCGTTAAGCGCTAAGCATCTAAGCCCGGGCCCTTTTCCAATCTTATTGAGGCTTGGCCTTGCCATTTCTCATAATGGAGTGGCCTTGTATAAAATCTGCCCGTTTTTTTTTCGATGTATACCTTACGTACAAGGGAAAAATATAGTTTTACTTTTTCTTTTTCCTGTTTTTTCTTGGGCGTAAGTAATACAAATTCCCTATGTGGTGTATAAAACACAATTGCACGGATATCTCTTGATGCACGTCATGTGACAGGGGGGTTGCATATTCCCCATCACAAATTTACGTAGTGGAGTACTTTATCATCAAAATATCTAGGAAAAAGTTTGTATAAGGATGCTACCTTATAACGTAGAACTACGATGCCCCTAAAAAATCAATCCGAAAAGGCAGTTTTAATGTTGAAAAACCCTTTGATTGATCATCTTGACATCAAGATGTATGACTATAAAAAGTAAAAAGATGTAAGTCTCAGAAATAGTGCATTTACAACATATTATCTATACCGTCTATTTTCAAGATTTTTTTATATCTATAAATCTACTTGATTTTAACCATTTTTTAAATTTAAAATTTTATAATTAGATATAAAAATAGATTTTGAGATAATCCTAATAATATTTTACATCAAATTTATATACCATGATAAAATTTGAAGGTACACCTTACCTCTACTCCTACATATACATATCTATATGCCAACTGCACCCAAATATCAATGTCATATGGAAAGAAACATAAATGGAAAGAATCTAGTTATCAAGACCAAGTGCACCACCTTTTTCCAATGGCCGGGCCATCGACTAGTGTGCTATTTTTTTAAAAACATAAGCACTTGGACCATAGACTAGTGATGTTTTTTTTCTATCATAAGCCCTTTCGACTGGTACGACCACCAACGGGTTTTATCTAAAATAGGAGTTAGATTGGATAATAAATAAGCAAAAAATCAATATTTGACTTTTTTTTTTTTTTTCATGAGATTAGCTAATTTTGATTTATTAGAATTAGCTAAAGAGAGTTTTGACTAAAGATGTTTTTTTTCTATCATAAGCCCTTTCGACTGGTAGGACCACCGACGGGGTTTATCTAAAATAGGAGTTAGATTGGATAATAAATAAGCAAAAAATCAATATTTGACTTCTTTTTTTTTTTTCATGAGATTAGCTAATTTTGATTGATTAGAATTAGCTAAAGAGAGTTTTGACTAAAAAAAAAAAAAATTGCAACAAATTATAATGGGTTTTAGGTTTTACAATAGTTGTTCTATGTTTTTCTTATACTTTTTTTTTATCCAATCCAACCAATACCTCCATCCAGCAAAACTTAGAATCGACCCCTCACGGTTTCAGTAGCCTGTTGATAACACTATATCATAAACATCACATTTTAGGTGGTAAATGAGAAGTGAGAGAGGAGCATATCTACTATGCTCTTGCAGGAGCACGGTGCACATCTACTTCCTTGGTCCGAAGGTCGACTCGCTTTTGTTTTTGAATGCTCAAATTTGTGAACTATCTAGTAGTCACTAAATGTTTATTTTCAAAAGAAAAGATTCCAATTTTGAGTTTTCTTAGATCCCAACGTGAAAATTTGGAGCCGCTTTTAAATCGTTACACATTATACTATAGTTGGACCGCATTTCTACATATGCGGTCCAGAAAGTGTAAAGCATCCATTCTAAAGATGGATGCGAGTAGGTGTTTCATCTAAAAAACAATAGTGATTAACAATCCAAATGTTTTTTAATTAGAATTATTATTTTGAATTTTTAAAATTTATTTATTTATTCATATTCATGATCTCCATGTTAGGGATTACATGTCCTTAAAAATTAAAAATTAAGTCCTAAAGTCCATCTCAAAAATATATTTATTGAGAGAGCGCCATAAAGTTTGTAATAACAATTTTAGAGAGCAACACGGATACAAATTTAAGAGAGAGAAAGAGAGCAATGAAAAGATGGAGTAATTGAGATTTGATAAAGCATCCCAGAGTTGGAAAATTGAGAACCAAACAAATAACTACATATTAATGAAAATGATAGTAACAATAATTAAGGAAACCCCAACTATACTGTTCCCTAACTTCCTTATCTCTCATGGAACTGAAAATACTACAACCAACCCATCACCTCTCCCTCTCCCTCTCTAAGAGAACAATGACCAACGATCTCTCTCATGGAACTCCAGATACTAAGCGCCAATCAGCCCAATAAACTTTCTCTCTCTAAAAAACCTCTCTCTCTCTCTCTCTAAAAGAATAATGCCCCAATCAACCGAAAGGGCACTCTCTATCTCTAGACGTGGCGGATGCGGCCAAGGGAAGCGGAGACCATGTCCCGAGCATGGCCCTTACAACTGAGAGCTCTAAGCAATTTCCATGCCCCTTTACAACCCTTCTCTTCCCTTACACAGACTCTAGACGAATTCGACCTCTCAAAGATCGCCGGATTCCGGCGCCTTTGCCGGAATTTAATGTCTCTCAATTGAATTTCCGGCGCTTTTACCAAACCAATCATCAAAAATTGCCCCCTTGATCTCGTCGGAAAATCACTCTTCTCCGGGAAATTTCGGTTTTCCCGTGGTTTTGTGCCCGAAAAGGGGGGAATGGAGGTCGAACTCCTGTGCAATTTTCGGTGACTCGGTGAAGGATAACTGTAGGTTCTAAGCCGCCTGTGATCAACCGGTCTCTCGACTCTGGGCTCGAAGCTACTCTGATGGCTCCCTGTAAATGAAGAGAGAGTAACAAATGGATTCAGCTTGATTAAATAAAAAAAAGTCTCAATGATCGTTAGATAGATAGTGCGCGCGTGTCTGAGAGAGAGAGAGATTTTAGCCTCCATTGTTTACTCTGAATTTTTGAGAGAGAGAGAGTTTTTAGCCTCCATTGTTTGCTCTAAATTTGAGAGAGAGAGAGAGAGAGAGCAAGCATTGTGCTTCCATTTCTAACTCTAAATTTTACTTTTCTGAGGACGAAAGAAACATGAAGCTAGTTTTTTCACTCCATTTTCAATGCTCTGAATGAGAAAGAGATCCGTACCTGCTAGCTCTCTGTTACTTCTCAATGGAAGAAACCCACCATGGAAGAACAAGTCCTCTGCATCACACATCTCTGCCGTCGCATCTCTAAAGAACTCAAAATACTCCATCTCTGCTAAAGATTTACAGGATCTCCGTTCTTTCAAGAAGCTTTCTCTCTCTTCTCCCTTTTCAATTGGGAGATCACAGAGAGAAAGCACATCATCCTCGAAATCCCTAATCTCTTCCATGCTCTCTCCTCCTTCCTCTGCACCGTCCTACGTCCTCTGCTCTTTCAAATTGAACAGAACATAAAAAACCTAACCTTTTCACCTAGAGAGCGAAAGAAAGAAAATCCTTCGACTTGCAGGAATCCTCTCAAAATCCAAACTTTGAACCTTTACGAAATGGAGCAAAGTTGTGGAGAATGAAAACAATGGGTCATGAGGTTGATACTCTTTGGGGGTTCAAGAGTTCTGGATTTTTATAATGGGATTCTTGCTTTTGGACCTTCTGGAGCGAGAAGACAGATTTTTTTAAGAAACATGGAGAGTTTCACGTCTCTTTCTCTCTCCTTTAAGATTAAGAGTTGTTCTTTCTCTCTAAAAAACTCAGGCGTCTTTCTCTCTCCTTTAAGATTAAGACTTATTTCTCTCTCAAAAATTCTATGATTCGGTTCCTCTCTCTCTCTCTAAAAATCGATGAACCAAACTTTGCATCTCCTTCAAGAAGTGAGGCTCACTTTTCCCTCCTTTTCATTGATTATGAATTTATGGCCCTTTCCTTTTTAATCTTTTTTTAATTGAAACTTAATAATTTTTTTATTTTTGTCTATTTTTCATTGACGGATATTTTGTCTTGCCTTGTGAGTCATGACGGTACCCTACCGTTTCTTTCTATAGCAACCGGCCCCCATCAATTCTAGAAATGACATATTAGTATTTGACCCCTCAATCGACCAAACTACCCTTGTGTTGTGGCTTCGAAGACCAAACGACAGTTTTGTTTTTCTTTTTTTGCCCTTTTTTTTTAATGTTAACAAGACCAAACCCCTTTTTTTTGGTACGAGAAGTTAGCATTTTTTGTCATACAACGGTTTAAAAAAGTCTCAAAAAAAGTTCTTTTGATATTGAAAAATCCTGCAATGGATATCTCAACCTTGTACAGATAAAATAAAAAATAAAAAATTCTAGTCCCAGCTACTCTTCTGGTAACACTATAGCTACTCTTCTTGTAACTCTATCTAGACTATCTATTTTTAATATTTTTCTTGTGTTTATAGAATTGCTAGATGTATATTATTTAGGTAAATTAATAAAAATATATCTTAATTTTTGTTTTATTTAAATAAAAAACCTCATTTTTCTAAATCTCGATCATAGCTTATTTTTCTCATTTTTTATTTTATTTTTACTAAAATAACCTTTACAATAAAAACATGGTGCATCAATGTACTTTAAATGCAAGGATGACTTTCACACGGTGTTTTAAAAAACGCCGAGTCGAACCGGACTTGCCCGGTTCGACTCGGAAATCGCAAAAAGTGGAACGTATCGGCTAAAATCGGAAATCATCCCGTTCTAGAGAGAACCGGACGACTCTGTACAGTGACTCGCCGATTCACTGTACGGAATCGGCGAGTCCCGTACGGAATTTTTTTTTTTTTGTTGTAATCCATGATAGATTTTTTTGTAATACTTGATCGATTTTTTTGTAATCCATGATCGAATTGGTTTTGTTTTTTTGTAATCCATGATCGAATTTTTTGTTTTTTTGTTAATCCATGATAGAATTTTTT